CCTTGCCAGCCAGCCCAGCGGAAGCTTGGCAGTATTTCCTTGGGTAGCAACAGCGGTCAGAACGCATGCAGCATCTCATTTCACCCGTGCCACAGCCCTGCGGGTAGGTTCCATCCCTACCCCCAGTTTACAGATGAGGAATCAGAGGCTTCAGTGGATTCGGGGAGCCTGGAGCTACTCCGCGTGGTCACCTGGACCCCAACTCCAAAGCCTGCTTCTCCATCTATGGAGCCTGGTCCCCGGCATGCTGATTCACCTTTGCACCCCAGTGTCTGGTATGCAGTAGGAGTTTAATAAATGCATGTTAGCTGAACAACAAATCAACAGAACAAAAACTAACTAAATGAATGAATCCCCAGGCCTCAGTTTACCTTTCTGCAGAAGGGTTTGGAAGGCTAGACCAGACGCTGTCTCCTGTGGTCCCTTCTACTTCTAGAATGCCAGGGTCACCCTGTCACAGTGCCAGTCCAGGTGGCCTTCAGAGAGCTTCAGAATCCGACCCCTACTTCACACGCCAAGGCTGCTATCTCCCTGCCCACACCCTCTCTGCTCGAACCCGGAAAACCCTTCTTCCCAACAGACTCAAACCCCCTTCTTCCCACAAAGCCTAGGGCCCCTCTCTCCACAATGGCGTCTCTGTGTTCACCCCCACCTCCCCCACCCCCACCCTCCCTGGCATCTGTGACTCTCTGGAAGTTCAGAACCTGTCAGAGCACATCTTAGAGACTGCAGCCAAGTGCACAGAAAGCAGAGCTCTATGCAAACTCAGGGTCTAGATCATTTCCAACGTGAGTGAAGCCCACACACCGTTCCGATGAGGGTGAGCCATTGGGTGCATTTTCCACATGTCCGCCAGTTTGCATAGCACCCTGACAAGGTCCGCCGAACCTCGACACCAGCTCCGCTGCCATGCAGCTAGTATTTTTCTTGAAATAATCAGCCTTCAGTTCATTCCTTCTCTCCTTCCTTCCTCCCTTCCTCTGAACGTACTCTCATCCTAAGCAATGATGTCTATGAACTCAGTGTATGTGTGTCTCTCTGTCTGTGTGCCCGCTCCGTCCAGCTACCTCGTCACCGGGGTAGGGGCACTGCCGTTTGGGGTATCATGATTTCTAGGAGTAGACGTTTTTTAAGTCACAGATGAACCTTGCAAAATAACCTCGGTGCCTATTTTAATCAGTCCGCTAGAGGCAGGATTTTTAAACGATTTCAGATCCTTTAACGTGATTTTGTGCTCTCCGATTTTTATCATCAGCGGTTGTAACTAGAAACTATAAATGAGTGCTGGACGCTCACTAAGGCACCATCTGTAACTTTCCAAACACGGAGAGGTAGGTGAGGAGAGATAGTGGGGCGAGTGCCCAGACGCGGGCCAAGCTGGTCCAAAAGTGACTCCCGTGGGCTGACTTTGCGTGGACGCTCGGCCCTCCTTCCAGTGGCCGGGCTGAGAGGAAACTTCACCCCTCCTGCTTTTCTCCCCAGCAGCTGTCACCGGGTGTGAGGCGAACAGGAAACAGGATTAGAAGATTAACAGGGAGCCTGCCGTTCCAGCCCGGCTGTTATCGCGGCCGACTCTGGACAGCCACCTTCCCGGGACACTTGTCACTACCTGCTGCAACCTGGGGGTGGGACCACAGCCCAGAATAAATTCGGAACGCGAGTGCAACTGGGAGTAATGGGGAGTCTCGCCCCAAATCGGATACATTGTATTGAGCCTGGACTAGGCACCAAGCTCTCTCCTGGCAGTCCCTCACATCATTCTTATAAGAACCCTGAGAAGCAGAAGCTACATTTATTTATGCCCATTGTACAGATGAGGAATCTGAGGCTCTGTGGGGTCAAATCACTGGCCTAAGGTCACAAGCAGAGGAAAGGCTGCACCCAGGTGTGTCTGACCCCCAGGTTTTCTCTTGGAGCCACTCGGCTTGGTTTTCTGTCCTTCCCCTGGGCCATCTCCAGGGAATTGGGCAAAGGACCCTGTCCAGACTCCCCACCCGGCCCCTGGCTAGCCCTCTTGTTCCTCAGTGCAGCTCCTGACACAGCCACGAAGACACACGTGGCCCTCGGGCTGGGAGGTTTGATCCTGCATGTCAATGACTGAATGCCTAGGGTTACCAGCTGCCCTCTCCCGCCCTCCACCTGCAGCACCTACCCGGGAAAGTCACCTGATCAAACCCTCCCCAAGCTACAACAATGAGGGGGTGGTTAGGACAGCCAATTCTGACCAGCACAGAGGCAGCTGCCTAAAGACCTAACCACTGTGTCTAGAACTTTAGGAGAGAGGCCCCGGGATCACTGACACCTGAGCTTTTAGGCTCCTCTACCTCCCACCTGGGTCTCCTTCCACGTCTATCGTCTGTCCAATCAGCTTCCGAGGTGCCGGGCCCTGGCAAGACCCAGGAGAGCAGCTACGGGTCCTGGGAGCAGACAAGACTATGTGCGCGGTGTGTGGCCAGAGGAAGTTTGTTGGAGGAAAGAAAAGCTACAAGGTGACCCTCGCGATGGGCAGGGAATGGCCCAGTGCAGGACAAGAGGACAAAGCCTGAGGCAGACCAAACGTGTTCTCAGGGCCAAAAATCGCGGAAAGAATTACGATAAGTTTGGAACGTTGTCGACGCAGGTGGGCGGCACCAATGAGGGGCAGAGCTAGGGGGCGTGGCCAGTCCTGAGCGGGAGGGCGTGGCCCATCACGGGTTGGCGTCTGGGCTTGATATTGAAAGCCGTGGGCTCAGAGTGCTCTAGGTGTGGAGTAAGCTTGTCTGATTTGTAGTTTACACAAGTGTCTTTAGCGGCTGTCTGGAGAATGTCCTGGAGGGGAACTGGACCGAAGTCAGGCGGGGATGGTGGTGACTAGAACAGACAGGCTGACCCTGGCTGGTGTGGCTCAGTGGATTGAGCGCCAGCCTGCAAACTGAAAGGTCGCTGGTTTGAGTCCCGGTCTGGGCACAAGCCTGGGTTACAGGCCAGGTTCCCCACTTAGGGGCATGCAAGAGGCAACCACACACTGATGTTTCTCTCTCCCTCTCTCCCTCCCTCTCTCTCTCTCTCTCTCTCCCCGCTTTCCCTTCTCCCTAAAAATAAATTTTAAAAAAATATTTTTTAAAAAGAGAATAGACGGGCTGGAAGGAGAAAGGGAGGTGAATTCTGGGATAAGTGAAGAGAGCAGAATTAGCAGGACCCGGTAACTGGTTAAGTCTGAGGAGATAATTCTCAACACCTTAAATCCATGACCCTGTTTGCTCCTGGCTGTGTGGGAAGGAGGGGAGAAGTGGGGGCTGGAAGAAACCCTTCATCTGCGAGCTGGAACTGGTAGCTTCATCCAGGCCCCGCCTGCACAACCTGGACCTTCACCTGCAGGAGCGGAGACCCTGTGGATGGCTAAGCTGCCCGAATGGCAGGTAATGGTCAGGCCAGACTGGAAGTCTGAACACGACAGAAATACGAACGTGGCACTTGAGCCCAGGGCCACGGAGAGTTTGACCCCTCTCCACTTTATGTGGTATTTGTCATCAGCTTTGTCACTGGCCACAGACGAAATCCAACTCCAATCTCAAAATGCAGACTTAACGCCAAATTTTTTAAAAAATAATAATGTAAGAACGTGGCTATTTTAGCCACAAAAACATCTTACTAATCCACACTTATAAAGAAATCCAGTTATGACAGAAAGAATGTATATGAGCGTGGTATATGTGTGTACACCTGAGGATCATGACATTTTTATTAAAATATAGTTCACATACAATATTATATTAGTTTCAGGTGTGCAAGAGTTAGTTGACACTAACACACCTGATGAAGGGATCCCCACGCTGTATCTGGTCACCGTCACACAAGGTATTACTGACAACATCCCCTACGGTGAACCTTACACCCCCCTGCCCCCCTGACTTACTGCTTTTGTAACTGGACATTTGTGCCTCTCATTCCCCTTCACCTTTTTGCCCTTGAGTTTTTTAAAGTGTGCCAAATTAGAAGTGGTACGCCTGCTATCTAAAGACAGTTTCCATGGCATGCATTTCTTTCCAGAGCTGATGTTAAAACCACAAAGCTGGGACACCTTTTCTCTCTCCCTCTCTCCCTTTCTCCCTCTCTCTCTCCCCCTCTCTCCCTCTCCCTCTCTCTCCCTCTCTCATCTTCCTTTGAACAAGCATGTCTGTCCCGTCTGCCCGACTGTCCCTTTCTGTGCCTTCCAGAAAGGATAAGGAAAAGCTTCCTAAGTGACCTCATTTTATTTTGAAACACGAAACCCACCCAAAGGGGAAGAAGAAGAAGAAAAAAAACTTTTTTGGTCAAAGGGATCAAGATGTATTTCTAATTCTCTCGCCATATGGTAACTTATTTTGGAAGCATATCAAGAGGTAGAGAGAGCGTTTGACGAAATTGGCAATGCTCGTGCAATCCCTTGAAATCAGACCAAATTCCCACTGTAGACATTTGCTACGGCCCCTGCCATTCATCATATCAGCGACTGTGACCACAGGATATGTAAAAATATGGAGCAATTTTTATCACCATCTCCCAGTCCCCCGGTGCCCTGGACACCACGTGGTGGCAAATTTGTCTGTATTTCATCCCCAGAACATCGAGTCATTAACTTCCCTTTGCATGCACCAAGAGAGCTATTGCCAGACGACGAATCACTCAGCGGCAGTGACCGTATGGGGAGAAAGAGAGAGGACTTCCCTAGAGGGAGAGGGGCAGGCAGCAAAGGAAGAGGAGACGAGGGTAGCTTCTGTCCCCGTGGCAGACGAGGGATGTCAAAGTCTCGTGGACCTCCCGCCCCACGCCTGTGGGACACACGCTCCAGCTCGCCCGAGAGAGGAAACCACACGGGAGGGCGAGAGACAGTGGGGCTCAAGGAGGCTCGCTCTCTGTTTTCTTGTTTGCTCACGGGGGCCCCGTCTCTCCGTACCTGGTTGGCTGGGAGAGGGTCAGCTTGCCTGGGCTTTTGGGGGTGTCCACGGTGAGGAGGGAGCCCACGAACCCCTCTTTCTTACCTTTGCATCCTTGACATTCTGTGGAGTTCCATGTCATCGCTGCCCCGGAATCCTTTGGCAAAGGGATTATTCTCAATCTTCAACTGGGTGATCTAAAAGAAGGAGAAAGTCGGTTTACAGAACCTCGGGACATGAGCTAAGCCTGTGTTGCAGAAATGCAGCCTTCAGCAGCCAGAAAAAAAGGGGGACGTGCACATTAAGACAGTGCTGTCAAGGAGACCCATCACCTGAGGCAGGCCAAAGCTTTGAAAAAAAAATGTACTAGATCAGACTGCTTAGGAACAGAGAAAAAAACTGGGTTCGATTTGCCCATCAGTTAAAGTCATAGTCTGCATCACTCTAGCGGATCTGTTATTGCTGTTGACTTTAATCACAGCATTTTGGGTGCCAAACGCCAACCAGGCCTCATCCGTGGGCCCCCACCTCCCCTTTGGAAAGTCGTGCATGGGGACAGACGGCATCACACTCCCCAGCGGCGTCGCGACCTCCATCTGGAAGGCACTGACGACGGCTTCCCAAGTCCCGGTGCCTCGTGTCAGGTTCCTGTCGCAGTTTCACAGACAGCCTTCGCTGGCTCAGGTGGAACACGGTGTCTAATTAAATAAATGCCAACGGACAGAGGTCTAACATAGATAATGGCTGTCGAACAGCTTCCTGACCGCTTTCATTTTTTCTCAGATATCTTTGTTGCCATGCACAACATTTAGCAATGGAACAGGGTCTCTGGTGCAAGGCTCAGAACTTTCATCTACACCATTAATACATATTCTGTTGGCGTGCGTGAACAGTAACAGACACAGATAAGAGAGCGCTTCTATAGAGCATACGCCAGCATTACTTCCCAAGAGCTGTGTGGAATTACGCTTTTCTGTACCGCATCACTCTACAGACTGCAAGGCAGCACCCAGCAAGGCTGGGCGGGTCAGGGCTCACCTTCGCCATCACTGTCATATCCTGACAGCACCCGCACACTGGTCTGCTCCATCTTCCCGCTTAAATCTAATCCCCCTTTCACTCACATGTATTCCACACGAGACATTCTATCACTTCTCTCTAGGTCAAGCCAGAATCCCCTGCTGTTCAGTACAAAGGAAACAAGGGTGTCAAGTTCTCTCCCCTGGTGCCCACAGAGAGCTCGGAACCCCAGGCCTGCCTTCCCTTTGTCGCAAGGGGCGGGGGGAGGGTCACACACTTTCAGAACGGCACGTGACACAGCGGCTCCGACTACGCTGAGCCTGTCTCCCAGATCGTCCGATGGAAAGATCAGTCCAGAGAGAACAAGCTGCTGGGGTTCTAGCACAGTCAAGGAACCGCCCCCCATCATCCCATCGACCCCCAGGAGTAGAGGTCTGGACCTTCAGGGACTCCGTACTAGGGGTAATTAATGACGCTGCCCTCTAATTTGTCCTTTCGGAGGCAGGCATTCCAGTATGTTCTGTCTTCTAACAGAGATGGCTTATTCAGGTCTTCTACCTGCAACGCTCTAGAATGAGCATAAAATTACTCCTTGTGTACACGCAGGTGGGTGTGTTCCTGATGAAAAATCATGTCAATTTGCCACTTACAAACCGTGTTCCACGACTCCGACCACGGGACGCTTCAGAAAAGACCAGACTGTGGGGGCGGTGGGGAGAGGAGTGGTGGGTGGGACGGGAGGGGGGGAAGGGCGGATGGAGCAGAGGAGTTTCAGGGCAGGGACGCTGTTCCGTGTGCCACCGGAATGTCATCAAACCTTCGTCCAAACCCACAGGACGGACGCCACCGAGGGTGAGCCCTCAGGCAGACTGGACTTTGGGTGACTGACGTGTCGGTGTCGGTTCATTGATTGTAACCAAGGGTCCCACTCGGGCGCGGGTGTCGATCGTGGGGGAGGCTGAGGGTGGGGGTGGGGCAGGGGGTATGTAGCACATCTGTGTACCTTCCCGCTCACCTCTCCTGGGAACCTGACGCTGCTGTAAAAAAAATATCTACTGAAAAATTTTTCTAATACAGGATGGGGCAAAAGTAGGTTTACAGTTGTCTGTAATGGAAAACAACACAGTAATTAATAAATCATGATCCAAGTATAAACTCTGTGCTTTGCGTACTCACAATTATAAACTACTTTTGCCCCGCCCGGTATGTATGGGTATTCATGGGTACACACATTGACTCCTTCCTCACTTTATAAAAAATTGTACCCTTTCCTGTGGCTTTCTGATTTCGACTGGGCTCTTCAGAATGAGTCGAAAAGTCTACAAAACCCCCTTTAAAAATGGTCTTTAGCCCTGGCTGGTGTAGTTCAGTGGATTGAGCGTGGGCTGCCAACCAAAGCATCGCAGGTTCAATTCCCTGTCAGGGTACATGCCTGGGTTGCAGGCCATGGCCCCCAGCAACCGCACACTGATGTTTCTCCCTCTCTCTCTCTTTCTCCCTCCCTTCCCTCTCTAAAAATAAACACATAAAATCTTTTTTAAAAAAGAATTGTATTCTCCACATTTAAAAAAAATGGTCTTTAAAACGTGCACCCGAGTCCAGTTCTATGGTGACTATAAAAGCCCGTCACCTAATGGGGCGTTCTGTCCCACTCAAGTTTTCTCCCATAAAATGCAACCAACCTGACCATCAACCATTTCTTTCAAAAGGGCGGGGGGTGGGTTCTCAAAGTTCAGTACAAATTAGATCACTGAAGAGCAAATCAGAAAATGAGGTCTCGCCCCCCTCCCCCGACCCCGTCCCCTGCAGTCCCCGAAGCCAGACCCTGAGAAATACTGCAGATAAACCGGAATGCGGCCTCGGGTCTGAATTAACACCCAGCCCATGAGGTCGTTCTTCCACCAAGAGCTCAGGACGGAAATGTTACCCGAGGAAGAAAAGAACAGGGTGGATTTTTTATACTTTATCAGATGAAGGCGCAAACCCATTTCTTGCTCCTCATTCTACTTCTACCTCATTCTTCCCCTTACCACCGTAGCTTCCAGAAACATGACGGCACAGAATAAGTGTGACCTGCCGTGCAGGCACTTAGGTGTATAGACCTGACGTATGTCTTGCTTTGGAAACTGCGTATAGATGCCGATCGGGCGTAAGAATTACCCTGGAGAAATGTGACCATACCAGCTTAGCTGTAGGTGAAAATGTCCATCTTATTTCTAAATAAAAATGCCTTCTTTATTTCAGTCCATGCATAATCCTGTCCTTGAACTTCCCTTCTGACGCGCTGCGTGTCAGCTCGCTCACTCACAGACACACAGACTCACAGACACACAGACACACCAGCCGACACACGGTGATGTCTGAGTTCTACCCAAAGGCCCCCCTGAAACGGACTCCCACCCGTCCGTCCTACCAGGGGACCCTCTCTCTGCCGAGAGCATAAAACCGGATATCCGGGGGAGGGGTGGGGGGGTGGGGAAAAATACGAATATAAATGCCAGCGCCAACCAGTGAGACAGAGGTTGTAAAAATTAATGAGAATAATTGTTGTGAATTCTTGCTTTTGAAAAAAAAAAAGAAAAAACCCTCATGAGGGCCAAAAATCTTAATTATGTCTCTCTATTAGGGGTTCATTTCCTGGTCCCAACCAGAAAGCTCATACCTCATAAATACAGGCTCCTTACACAATGATTTAAGCGGGAGGAAAATGCCTTTTAATGGCAGAGTAAGTTAATATCGGGGGATAGACATGGTCGCATACACAGCCATTGTTGCAAGAGCTGGGAAATGAAATGCCCACGTGACCTTTTTTTAACACCTAAATATTTCTGGGGATCGCTCCCGGAGCTGCTGACAACTCCAGCGAAAACCTCACAAAACCCTGTTTCACGGAGCGAACGTCGCTGGGGAAGATTCGTGTTTTTAAATATCTTTTTCAAGCTGTCGGCCATCTGGGGAAATAACTCCCAAATCCAGCCCGGGATCGCAGCTGGGCTGGGGAAACACGCTGTGCCATTAGCAGCCTGGGGCTCCCCAGGTGAGTGACTGCAGCGTCAGAGGGGAACTCGGCCACGTCCCTGCCTCCCCCTGGTCCCGGCACCCACGCGGAGGTCACGGTCATCCACCGAGCCCCTCGGACCCCCAAATGGGTGGCTCCTCTTCTCCCAAACTGCCCTGGCAACCAAATCACACGGACGGCTGTTCTTTCCCTGCTCCCTTAGCCAAAGCAACGTGGGGTGAATAAATAGTCCTGGAACTGGACTCAAGGACGCGATCGGTGAACAGACTGAGTCCCGGAGGCTAACCTTTTGTGGCTTTGCAACCACGGGACTAAGAACTGATGGAAAATCTCGGTCTTTCAGATTCTAAAACAGTCAGGGTAGCAAAGAGTTTTCCAGAGCCCGCGTTTGGGATGGAATCACCCTGTTCATACACTGATCGGTCACCGAGTCAGCCAATGGAATCGTCACCGACACCCTGTGCCTGCTCCGTGCCAGGGTCCGCCAGACACCCGTCCACGGGTTATCTCATGGAATCCTCACACCAGGAATAGCCAATGAGTCTTTTCCTGCCCTCATTGTGCGGATGGGGGAAGCTGAGTGAAGTCGCTTCTTCAAGGTCCAACGGGTTTGAACCCAGGCAGGCGGCCTCCGCAGCCCCGACCTTACCCCTACGCTCAGGTGGCTCCTACCTATACAGTCAGGGGTCTCAACACCAGGTCCAGGCGGGACAATAAAGTAACAAGACAGAGTAAATCACACCCCGGCTGGCCCACTGATTGAAGTCACACGTCATATATCCAGCAGGGAATTTGTGCAGCGCAGCCCTGAACTTGAACTGGAAAACCGGACTGCTTGAGACTTCCTCCTGACAAAGCAACTAGGTGCCTTGCGTGCTCACAACTGGAAAGTGGGGGAAACCTCACAGGGGGCAGGGGGGAAGAGTGACAGAAAGCCGTCTTCCCTGAAATCCCTCTTCCAGAAGCCAGGCTGGCTAGAGAGACCCGTACGTATGTACAGCTCGATGGGCCAAGAAAGAAAACAAGCAATTGCTGTGTGTGGTCATCAACCACGCAAAAACCTAAATGCATGTCTGGAGAGGCGCATGTTCTAGACCTGGGAGCATTGAGACATGCGACCCCCCCACCCCAGACTCCGCTCAAAACGCACGCGCCTGTGCCCCCCTGGGCGAGCACGCTTTCACGCAGGGAGATCACTAGACACACCCACCGGGGAAGACAATTTTTTCTTAAAGTAGAAATTTGGTAGACTGAAATTTATATAATGTTAGTAACCAATGTTAGCCCAACGAATTAAAAAAATTTTTTTTTTAAGTGAGAAGGGCTAGAAACGTGGGAGGGTGCTGGGTCCAGTCTCAAGCGGTGGGGGTGCTGGTTCCCTGGGCGAGTACGTGTTGAGCTAATCAAATCGGGCGCTTCCAAGCTGTAGTTTATTGTCTGACAATTATGACTCAATAAAGCTGTAAACAGAGCGGGAGAGGAACGCCCCCTGATCTACCCGTGCCCGAGGGACCCGAGGACGGCAACTGCACAGAGCTGAGGAATTTCCCCCCAAGGATCTGACCCTCCCCATGTTTCTCGAGCAGGTCACTGGCCGAGGTCCACCGCTTCCTGTCCTTTCTGCAGGAACCTGGGTTTTCCTGGGGCGGAGGGAGGACTCAGCATATTTTTGGAGCCTCCCTCTCTGGTCTGGGAATACATGTATGTATATATATATATATATATGGAAAGTAGCATCTTTGTTGCTATTTTTCCATGCTTCATCCTTCGCCACCACCACAAAATTAAACACGGGTTTACAGCAGCTACAGGGAAGCAGGTTCCTAGCTGCCAGCCTCAAATGAGCCTGAAATGGTTTTGCAACTTTCAGGGCATTCGGTCTTTATGTTTTTAGCTCTTGTCAGTTCAGTGAAGGGGGGGTGGGGGGACTCAGAAAAATCCTCTTGGCCCTTGAAAGAGTCACTGCATTGGCGGGGCAGGGAGCAGGTTTTCTTCTGGAGAGAAGCTCTCTCTCAAGACCTGGGTTCCCAGACAGGCCTTGTGGCCTAGAAGGGACCATCCATCACAGCGCGGCCCGGCCGCTGACAGTCTGAGTTTGGAGATGACTCCACGGCCTTTTGTAGCCACCCCGGCTTCACGGGGTGGGGTGGGGTGGGGGCGCTTAACTGACACCCAGTCTATCCTGGAATGAGCTGCACTGGGTAAAACTGGAGGCTGCGGGGTGCTCTCGGCCGGCCTGGCTCCACAGCCCTGCACCTTCCCTTATCTTGTAGGTGGTGATAGGCCCTGTGGAGGGGGAGGGGCGTCGCCATTCCCACATCCATCTCCCGGAGTTGTCCACGTGACCCGCCTTCACCGATCCCATATGGAGTGCCCTACTTCCCTCTAGAACAGCCCTCTAACCCCAAATCACTGCTTAATACTCTTAACAGTCTACGACCCCACCGTGGCCGCGGCCCCTTCCCAGCGCCCATATCCTGCCTTTTCAGATTCCAGATCTTTTCATTACAAGCCTTAGAAACCATTCCGCCCTGCCCCACCCCCACCACAACGGATCCACGTGCCCTCGGGTTCCTCAAGAACAGACATCAACCGTGACAAGCCAAGACAAGCCTTGGCCTCCTGAGAACAAATAGGTGATGCTCCCCTAACCTGTGGTTATGGGGTGCCCTGTTCCAGTAGCATTGTCAGGCTTTGAAATGCCCAAACCAGAGGCTGGATTTCCAACAGGGTGGGGTCTGACATTGACACAATCGGTCTGGCAACGTCCCGCCTGCCTCTACCCCAAACTGCACCCGCCTTCTCCCAAATGAAGCGTTGACCACATGCATGACCCCCGCGCCCCCGCCCCCGCCCCCTCACCTCACCAAGCTGTGGTTTTGCAGGATCCTATCTAAGTCCTGGGAGTGGTGGTCTAGGCTGCTGGTGGCCACGCTTGCTTCATTTTGTTTTTGTTTTTCTTTTCACAATGCAAAGCTCGCTTTAGCATGTGGTCTAGGGGCAGGCGAGGGGGAGGTCAGAAGTTGCTGAAACCAATTATAGACGCATCTGGAAAATCCAAGCCCAAGGTTTCCGGCAACTTTGCCACCTGCCCTGATGGGGGTGGAAAGGCATCCAAAAGGCAGAGTGGAGGAGGAAAGAAGGAGGCACATCCCGAGAGGAAAGCGGCCCCAGGAAGCTTAGCCCCAGGTTCCCACTCAAGAGCACGGAGTCAGGCAGCGAAGCGACCTTTCTTCTCACGGACCACTTCCTGAGTGGAGTGGGATGCCTCCTTGTTGTGTTTGAGTGTGCGGACATGTACAGTTTGATAAGCTTGTTTCTAACTGGGGTGCGTGCGTGTGAGTGCATGGGGTGGGGGGTCTGCCAAGCTCGTGAATGCAGTACAAAACAGCTACAATCCTTAGGCTGCAGCTCTGTCCCAGCTACGCACGCAGCCCCGTGGGGTGGGAGTCGGTGTCCGTTGTGCAGACTGAAGCTGCCCTTAGCTCGAGGTCTCAGCGGGAGACTCCCTCAGAGTCCTGCCAACGAGCAGGCAGCCCCAGGCACTGGGGTTCCTGGGTACCGGACTTACCTTGTGATTCTGGTAGGAAGTCACTGCGATAAACGCCGTCTCAGGAAAGACGTGGGTGCAGAAAGCAGTATTTTTTGAGCCAAATCCATTATTTTCGTCCGCTTTCACGATGTGTAATCTGGGCTGGTATTTGTGCATGGAATTTAGAATAATCTAAAAATAACAAAGAAAATGAGATTGTCAGAAAAAATGAAAATCCCTTTGTTTCCAGATAAAAAACCTCACTCTCCAGCCCCAAAATTAGACTCTTCGTATAGGCTCTTGGAAAAAAAAAAATAGTCCGATTTTTTCCCTCCTGTTTTGAAAAGGGTCCAGTGATTTCATTAAAAAGAAACATTTCAAAAATGACAATTTCCAACCGAAAAAGCCAGGGTAATATTCCAGGAATCTACCCAAAGCACACACGGCAGTAAATCAGAATTCTTAATAAAGTTTGCTTAATAAATTAACTCCCTACGCAGGGTACTTGCCGCCCCCAACGGGAGCGAGCAAGACAGTGGCACCCCTGGGAAGCCTGGGTGACCGTGTGTGGAATTGAAGGGGAGAAGAAACAAACAAATAAACAATCAAACATACATATGCCCCCCCCCAAAAGGAAAAAAATAAAAACCTCTGAGAGATGCAAACCAAGAGACCAAGCTGTGGCAGAGCTGGAATAAAACTCACAGGCTCGGCCCTTTGTTTGGAGAATGTGTGCAAGTGAGTGAAAAAAGAAAATAATGGGGTGCAGGGGGGGCGCTAGGGATGGGGAGCTGATGAGGGAAGTGCCCCACCCCACCCCCTTCACCCCCCAAACAAGGGCCTGGTGGTCCTGAGATTCTTTCTCCAACCGCATCAACATGTCAGGACCCACAAGCTTGGAATCATCTGCAGGCCTAGCCCCAGAGACCACTGCTGCCTCCGCTTTCTTGTGCATATTCTCTGCCTCCCGCATCTCTATCTTCTCCGTGTCCCGGGTGCTCCCAGGGACAGGCGGGGTCCGAGGGGTGTGGCTGGGTGGCTGTTATTACAACCACCAGAACCAGTACCTGGCAGGGGTCCCCAGGCCGGTTCATAGGAGAGGAGCACCCTCACTACTACACTGGGGGTGTTGCTCTGAGGATGCCTGGGTGTGACATCTCCCCGAGCCTGTTGACGCTAATGTTTGTCAACCCGATCTGATCTGTGCCCACCCAACGGGCGAATCGCCGAGTTTAAGGGGCTGAATATCTGGCCTGCGTTTTCCCTGGGACCACAGGCTGGAGCGGGGGAGGCTGTCTGGGTGTCTTTGATTGTTTGCATTGATGACCCTGGGGCAGGGTTCTTGGGCCAATCCTAGAGACCGGCCTGGAGGAGGGGGAGGGCCCGCTGACTCCTCCGGATCCCGGCCTTGCGGCTCTAATCTCCGGCCTACGCAGCGCGCGGCCGCCTGCCTGCCGATAGCGACGCCGGCCCTGGCGGCGTGGCGACAGAGAGACGCAGCGGGGGCCCCGCGGGCCGCCGCAGCCCCCAGGTCGGCGCGGCCATCGTCCCGGCTTAGCCAAATTGCTTTGACGGCCGGGGACAGTGTGGAGACGTCAGCGGAGGGCGATCTAATGGTTCCTAATTTCATTAGGACGGCTGGGGACTCCAAGTCTGGAGTTTGGTGTGGGATTGCGTGGCAGCTGCGGAGTCGGGAGCCGCTCTGCGCGCGCTCTCTTCCCGCGGCTCTAAGAGCCTGAAACCGCCAGGGTGCCCGGATATCCGTGGTGGGACTGCGTGCCTCCCCCGCCCCACCCAGCGCGACCCCAACGGCGCGCCCAGAGCCCTACAGGGAAAGCTAGGAGCCCAGCTGGAGCTGGAGGGCGGTCCCGCTTCCTGCCATCAAGACCCCAAGCAGGACCCCACCATAGGGTCCCGGCCTCCAGGAGGACTCCAGCCAGCAGGAAGATGAATGCATGCCGGACCTTCGCAAAATAGTCCTGTCTCTCCCTAGCGCCTAACCTCAATGATCAGTTCAGTATCCGCAGGGGCGATGCCCAGGCCACCCCGAAATCATCCTGATTCTGGGTGCACCAGCACACAGGGCTCTGCAGACAACACCTTGCTTTCAACGGAAAGGAGACTCGCATTTTTTTTTCCGGTAGAAACTGCCCCCTCTGCACCCTTCTGGGAACTCCTGACCATGAGGAAAGGGAACTGGCCTCTCCGCCCTGCGACCAGTAGTTCAGCCTCCCCACCGCCCACGTGTAGAAAGCAGCTTTAAGCGCATCCGGTGGATGGCCCCGGGGTCCCCTTCCCACTGCAGCCCCTGCCTGTAAGGCCCCACAGCGGCAGGTTTCTCATTTGGGCCTTCACAGACGGACCTCCGTGACCGTAAATCCACTCGCACCCAGTCCCCTCCTGTCCCCAAAGTGGGGACCAAGTTTCTGTCCATTCTCTCTAGAGAGGCCATAGCAGGATAGAGAGCACTTTTGGAATGAGAGACCTAGCCTCAAGTCCCGTTCCCAAACACAAGCTGTTTGACCTTGGGCAAGTCCCCTCCCCTTGCCCTGGATGCCCATTTCCAGAGGCTGTGTGTTTCTGTCCCCCAGGCACCCCCACCCCCGCCCTAGGCTGCTGTGAGGGTCAGGGTGGCATTGCCAATCCGAGCATTCCAAACACAGAGTTCAGAGACCGTGTTCTGGCCTGGTGATGAATTCTTTCCACCAAAGGGTTTGAGGGACACGCTCCTAAAAGTCAGTGTGTTGCTCTTCATTTGTTGTTCTTTGGGGAAGAGAGGGTGACGCCCTCTGGAACACTTGCTAAACGCTGCACATCTCTGGAAGGGTGGGGGCTGCCCGCTCCCATACCCCGTGTGTGGGTTCAGAGGCTTCCCCGGGCCCCTCTCTCTGGGGGCAGCTAGGACGCCAGGTCTAGGACCCTGGTCTAGATTTGCCCGCTCTGGGCATTGCTGGGGGAGAGGGAGAGATGGCAACTGGGAACAACAGGTCTGAGAGTATCAAGCTAAAAGGAGCAGCATTCCAGAGTTCGCCTCCAGTGCGCTGGCGTGCCCATCTGCAGAAGGGGTCAGGTGGCCCGCGGTCTTCCTCTCCTCAGGAACACCCCAGTCCCAAGGCAGGTTTTGGAAGCGGGTGGGGAAGGTATACCAGCCCCCACCATGGTCTGGCCCCTGTGCTATGCCCACCGGGGGTGACAATGTTTTTTTTATGCAGGACTGAAACACAGCCCCGCTTGGAGCCCTAACCACAGAGGGGACAGCGGCACAGACCCGGTTCCCAGCCCCCAGGTCCACCTGGGACAGTGCAGCTTCAGTCACACCACGATCCCTGCCCCAGGGCCACAGTGTGAGCCCCAGGTCAGGAGAACTGGGGCCCCATCTCCACCCACCCGGGGACATACAGACCAGAGCGTGGGACAGTGGACCACAGGGGAGACCGCAGAGGGGCAAACCTCTCCGTGGGAGAGAGCTGGACATGGAGAGGAAGGCAAGAAACCCAACAGCTGAATTAGAGGGGAGAGAAATAAGAGACAGGAGAGAGAAGAGAAAGGAAGGCCAGATCCAGAAAGAAGGGGGAGGGAAAGACCAAGGGCTGAAATAAATGGGGTAAGGAAAGGAGAAGGGTGGGTTCAAGAAGCCAAGGAGAGGAACCAGGAGGGAAGGAGGGAGGGAGGGAGGGAAGGAGGGAACGGGTCGGACCTGAGGACCCAGGCTGGGCCGCTCCGGGTACTTACATGCCCGAACGGGTCCAGGTGGTTGTTGGTGAGCTTGAGTTTCTGGAAGGACACGAGCTGCCGCATCCAGTGCGCCCCCGTGGCCGGCGAGTCTGGGTGCACGTACAGACGGCCCGGCATGGCCGGCTCCGCTTTCCCCGTCACGGACCTAGACCAAGGAGAGGCGGAAGGCCCATCCTCAGCGCCCTGTGGTGCGGCCGGTGCACACGCCGGGGGCCTGGGCTGCTGAATGCGAGAATGCTCTGCAAATGGCCTGACCCTCAGGTCTCCCCGGCCCGGCCCAGCGCTGGTATCAGGCAAGCTTCCCCCCACCCCCAGCTCTTTTTTCTTCCATCTCATCCCTCACCTCCCCCGCCCCGGCCCCCACCAGCACCAGGGACGTCTGAGGGGCCTCGAAGCCCCTCGCTGCCCACAATCAGCGGGTTCTGGGAGCCCGGGTGTGCAAAAAAAGTCTCGGAAAACTCCTTGAGGGCTTTCAAAGGGGGCTTCCTCTTCAAGCCTCTGTAGTCTTGGCAGCAGTGGAAGCCACCTACCCGAGGAATGGGCCTCGCCTCTCCACTCTTTGCCTGTTTTACTCAAATACCATGGGCCGATTTTGCAATTTCATAAAAAGGCAGGTTCAAAGCGGGTAACTCATAAAAAGTAACTGTAAATCGTTTTATACCCCCAAATACCTCCAGTGCTTGGTAACAATACCCTTTTTAAGAAATCGACAACCCACGGGGGCAGCGGCAGACACCGGCCCTTCGCTTCCTCGGAGCCTCAGTTTATGCACCTCTAAAATGGGGGCTAGCAGCTGCTCTTTCTTCCTTTCAGGGCAAGGTCAAAGGGATGCAAGGAGACAGGCCAGGAGAAGCCTCTCCCTGAAGGGTAGGAACTCAAAAAAAAAAAACCCAAAAAACGTGGACTGGGTCCGTGGCGGGAGTACCCGCCCCACCTGACACCCTGAGGCCTACCATTTATTATCTGCGAACTTGTATCTGTGGTCGTCGGCGGGGACGATGTCCATGAGGAGAATGTACTTCGTTTTGGGATTGAGGCCCGTCACCTTCACTTTGTAGCTGGGGAACATCCGCCTAGGAGAGGTGCAGGAGGAAGGCATGAGGAAGAGGAGGGGGGAGAGAGGGAGGCTTGAAGCTAATACTCTGAAGCGCACACCCACAGGTTCTATGGAAGGAGCCATTCCTGTGCAAACGGGGAAGACCAAAGTGGCCCCCACTCCGCTCTGGCTAAGATCCATCCCGGGTTTCCCTTGAAGTTCTGGGGAGGAGAAAGGCCGACAAACGAGTCAGGCCACTGAGTCCAGCTAGGAGGAAAATAGAAACCAGGAGGGAGGGCTCCTGGGGAGCCGGTTTTGAAGACAGCCTGCACGGGGACCCCCATTTTGATTCCTGCTTAATGCTCTTTTCGGCGCCAGACACCTACTTGTTTAAACTGGGGACAGAAAGAGTCTCCTTAGGTCAAAAGCTGGCCTCCCCCTCTGCCCAGCCAGCTGCTTGGGCGGATATGGGCAGCGCTGCTGGGTCCTGTGGACACCAAGGTGTGTGTGCCCCTAGGGACTGAACACACGCGGGTGCCCCCACAGTCCCAGTCCTGGCTTCAGTCCTCTGCCCCCCCACCCCCACCAGAGGATAGCGCGGTTGGCGGCCTCCAACACAAATCTCTTGCAGGAAGTTATTCCTCAATGCCCCACAACTTCTCCAAAGCACTCTTCTTTGCGAAGTCTAAACTCTCTGGCCCTTAGCAAAGAAATTTCACAACCAGCCACCGCTGGTTTCAGAGAGGGTCGCGGTTTGCACAAGAACGGAGGATCAGCTGGTTGGGAAACCAGTGCCCCCCAAAACCGGGTGCACCGTGCCCACTCCCTCCGGACACGCAGCTGCACCCCACATTCCCATCCTGCCTCGGGAAGAGTGCGCCCTGAAAAACGAGCATATTCCAGGGGGGGCCTGGGGTGGGACGACCAGCTGCTGGATCCCGGCTGGCTCCCGGGTGGCCGGAAGGGGTGAGCGGAGGCCTCTCCCTTCCAGCCCTGGAGTCGGTGGAAGCCGCGGTGTTTATCTGCCCGACTGAGCGCGCCCGGAGGCGGAGGCTCGGTACGCCGCGCGCAGGCCTTTTATAGTTAAATCCTCTCCGCTCGGGCCCGAGGAAAGGAGGCCCGGCCGCGGCTTTCCTTCCGCGGCGGAATGGGAAGCAAACCTTCGTTCTTTGAGTGTAAACAGAACGCGCCTCCTGGTTCAGCCAGGCCGAGCGGGGGAGCAGACATTGTTTAATTTCCAATAATAATAAATGTCACTGTTGTCAGTTTATTGCGGGAGGGTTCGGGCCGGAGAGCCGGGGGCGTCTGGGGAGGCGGCTCCGCCCTCCCCCTTCACACACTCGGTGGCTTGGGCCTGTCGGCCTCTCCGGCTTCACACGCCCGCTCTGGGTCGACGCGGGGCTTTCTGCAGCCCCCGGCACGCAGGGGGACAGTCAATAAGGGTAGCGACGTGGCCGGGATGTCTCCAGGCCTGGGCCCCCGTGAGCACACTCTTATACCGAGATACAGAGCTGCACGGCTCTCCCGCCCCCTTCCCCAGAAGTCTAGCATTTCTAGCTAAAACTCAGCGAACTTGAGAAAGGAACCGCGGGGCTGAGCGTCTTGGCGAAACTGCCGTGTTTATCGCTGTCTGTATATAGAGCCCGGACGAGCCCCGGGTCAGTTTCAAAGGCTTCGCCTGCTTTCTATAAACAATGAAAGAGGTAGCGAATACATTCAACGATTCAGACCTGGGCAATCGGACGGAACTCTGGAACCACTCCAAGGTCAGGCAGGGTGGGAAGGAGGATGGGGGCGAGGGATCTAGTCTGAAACCCGTCTCATCGCTGGGTCCTCTCTGCTGAACCTCTCGGTTTTCCTCATTCTCTCTCCCCAATCCTCCCTCTTTTCTGGTTACGAATCTGTCCACATAACACAGCTTCCCCAGCTCTAGATTCTCCTTATATAAGAGGGACAAGAAATGCCCCGTGGGAAAAAGTGCCTGGTTCTGCTGTTGACCCTATCAGGTATTTATTCCCCCCCCCCACCCTGATGGAGATCACAGGAGGAATTCTCTGGGCCTCTATAACCAGAATCTGGTCAAACAAAATATCGTCTCATCTCTCTCTCTCTCTCTCTCTCTCCTCTCTCTCCTCTCTCTCCTCTCCCCCACAATTTCTCCATCACCCCTCCACAGGGGCAACCGGCTCACCTTCCAGCCTTAGTTATGATCATTTCTGTGCCCACTTCATGGAATTTCAGCCACAGTTCTCGTTCATGAAGAAACACCTTGATCCCTTCCATGCCCTAGAAGAAAGAGAGGAAAGTCACACAGACAAGCCCGCGGACGGTGAACCTTCCATCCTCAAACTCCCTCCCCACCCCCAAACACACAGCCTTCCCCTCCTTCCCTCTGGAGCCAGTGGGTGGAGAAGCTGAAAACGGCCCTGGTCCCACCGCAGAGGACTCTGGACTCTGGACCGCTGGGCAGCCAGCCCCTGCCCAGGAACCCCGCTATGTGTCCATAACGGGAGGGGGGCTTCTCTCTAGTGTCACCTACACAAGACTAGAGAGAAAAAAAAAAAAACAGTGTAGGGTGCTCCAGAATGTCCAATGGTGGGGACAGGGGTGAGAAAAACCAAGCCCAGTCTCAATTCGCTTTAGCCAAGATGACGCTAAAAAGAAATGAATCCTCGGTCTCGAAGACCCACTCAGGACATTCTTCTGGAGGCTCAGAGAGCCACAGGCAAAACATTCATTATGTGCAAACACTGTATATGTGCATGTGCATCCTCGCCATGGAAATGCAAATGTAGACCTAGGGGAGATTTCAAATTTAAAAGGTATGCATTATAATAGGTTCCCGCAGTCCAAAACAAAAGGGAATTCTCAAATGTCCGTATGAATACGCCGTCCAGGCTCTCCACGCACCCAGCGTCCGGCACTCAGGCTGTTGTAACGGCGAGCACAGCCTAAGCCGTTTAACGTTTCCGCTTTCGACTAAGAGTTATTTTACAAAAGCGATGCAAAAGAAGTATACACAAAGTCTTCGTTTTGCAACAATCCACAACCGTCTAATGAGTGGATGTGCTTTTCTGTAAAAAGGGGGAAAAAAATCTAAGCTTCCACAACTGCGTGCCCACTGCTTTCTGCTGCTCTACAAATAGACGTGTTTTCCCGAGACCCGTGAAGGGCAAAGCAGAGAGGCGAGGAACTAGCCAGGAAGGACTCTGAAATCCCCAAGAACGGTTTCAGCTATGTCCACGCATCTCTTCTGGTGGTCACCCTGCGTCGCGCCATCTGACAACTTTTTAAAACTCATCCGGGCCTTCTGGGGGCCGCCCCGCGCCCAGGGAGTGCACCGCGCCCAGCTTCCAGCCTGGCGAGCCCGCGGCTGCCTGCGCCCTCTCCGCACAGCCCTGCGCGCCAGCCGGCCAGGGCCGGCGCATGACAAATGGTGCGCCGCGCGGGTCCCGGCGCGGGCGCGGAGGAGGCGGGCGGAGGCGAAGGCTACGCAAGATCTGAAGAGGGGTCAAGCCATCGCTCACGCCGGCCTGAACCGGCCGCTGACCTGGCCCTTAATGAGACGCGCGGGGCCCAGTCTACACCTAGTGCATCAGGAAAGGAAAGATCTGGGTTCTTGTTAGCTGGCCCCAACTAGCCGGATAATGAAGGCTTCCTGACAACTTAAATGCATTTTTAAAAATCCTCTGGCCAGAAAGATACTCTTCGAAATAAAGTGGATTAGAATACACTGGTGTCTGGGGAGGCAGGGCAGAGGAAGGTGTGATTGAGTGGGGCCGAGGAGAGAGAGCGCACCCAGGGGCAGTGGGTGGCCCGGCCCTCCTCCCCTGCAAGAAGGACTTCGGTCTCTGCAGAGGGCCCCTGGGCGCGGGTCTTCTTACCTGCTGGGTGAAGGCGGCCTGCGGGGACGAAGGGGACTTGCTGGGGGCCCCTAGCGCGCTCTCGGGCTTTGAGTCGCAGGGTAGATCCTTCGAGTCAGGTTCCAGGGGAGTGTGCGCTAGGCCAAAGCCCTCCTCTGCGTCCGCCATGGTGTGCCCGGGGCCCTGTGACCGCGCGGGGTCCTGCACTGCGGACGGGAAGCAGAGAGAGAGAGAGAGAGAGAGAGAGAGAGAGAAAGGGAGAGGGAGAGAGAGAGAGAGAGAGAGAGAAAGTTGGAAGCCTAGTTCAAGTGATAAGAGGGAGCAGTTGGGGCCCCGTTTCCCAGCTACCAGCACCTCCGTTCCCAGGCGAAGGACGCTGCAGAAGGTCCCCTTATTACGATCATTACTGTTACTTTAGGATCACGCACAACCTCTTGAGAAAGACCCGCGTCAGCCCGGGAGAAGGCAAGGCCCGCATCTCCCCTGCGCAGGCTCCCCCCCGATAAGCCAGCTGCCCGTCAAATTTGTCTGGACTTCTGGAAGAGCCAATAAAGATAAGGCCTGGGTATTTTTGGAAGCCATTGGGTACGAACCAAAAACAAAACAAAAACCGAGTGTCCTTTTGAGAATTTTTTTTTTTGTCTTCGTCGAATTGCAGGAGATCCTCAGAGCTCTGTTTGTGAAAACTCGCAGGCGGAATAGTTTGGTGCAGCCGGCAAAATGTCTGAAACCACCCGCCTCTTGCAAAACCAAAAGCTTAAAAGGAGCGAGAGTTGCAGACCCAGAGACCTGTCCCAAAGAAAATTCATGTTCATCGTTTATCAGCTACAGGTCTTAAAATTAAAAGTCCTTTAGCATTCAGGGTCCTCCCCTGCCCCCCCTGCAACCTGAACTAACGTTAAAAACAAAAAGAAGCCAGAGAGACAGCCAGGCCGGGAGGCGCTGCTCGGAACTTCGTAGGGAGACGCGCTTCTGGGTGCCCATGGCCGGCTCTGCGCCGGCCGCCCGGGGCGCGCGTTCCCCGGCTTGCTCTGCTCTCCAGCCCGGGTCAGGAATTTTTGTCGAGCAGCCAGGCCTAGGGGAGCGTCTCCGAGCTCCGGCTGGGCCTGGCTCGCTGGAAGTGCAGGCCCGAGCTCTGCACTGGCGAGAACAAAATGGGTCCCAGCGAAATCCTGGGCTTCGGCCGTGGATTCCGCCGCCGAGGTCCGGCTCAATGCGCAGAACGGCCCGGGTGTGCAGGCACAGGAGGTCGGAACGCGCAGAATGGCAGCTGAGGAGCCGCTCAAGCCCCGGGGATCCGGTCTCCTGCTCTGATCTCCTTCGGATCTCCCGTACGTTCCCGGGCGGAGATTTCCTCCCTCCAACCCCAGGAAGACAGATGGAGGCGCAAGGGATGGCTCCCCAAAATCTCAGCCGCCTCTCCACCGAAAAGCCAGATCCCACCCTGGTCTGCAGTGGCCGGAGCCCCAGAAACGGTGCTGAGGCCCAGCTCCCAAGAGCTTTCCTCACCACGCCCTTGGGGTTTTCGGGAGGCGGTGATGGGAGTCCCGCAGCCGGCTCACAACAAAAGATACTGGGGCGGCGCCCCCCACGTGCGCTCCGGTGCACCGCGGCCTCGGGGATAATCCCACCCCCCGCCCTAACCAGGGTCCGGGGGAGCTAGCGGCTGGCGAAGGAGAACAAGATGCGGTTTGACAGAACCAGGCCGCGCGTCCTGGAAACCACGCCGTTCCCCGGCCGCGGCTGCCTACTCCGCTGCACGCGCCCAGGGCTCCGGGCCGCGCGAAATCTCTGCGAGCCGGGCTCTGCAGAATCCAAGGCGAAGCTGCAGTACCGCCAAGCGCGCCTCCCGGAGCCCGCTCGGCCGGGGGGCTCCCTCCCGAGCCTCCCGGGCCATCTGCGGGCAAGGTTACCTCGCTCGGTGAAGCCGGTGCATTCACCACATCCCTGGTGCTCCTAGCAGGGAAGCCGGCGGCGAGGCGGGGGCGCCGGCATGGTGGCTCCGGGTTTATGCGCGGTACTGCGTGCCCGGACTAGCGGCTACTGCTGCCTACAAAGAGCACCCACCGCTGGAGCCTCAGCAGCCACGGCCCACCTCCAACACACACCTCCTCCACTCTGCGCCGCTCTCTCCCTAAAGACTTCCAAGTTGTCAGGCACCGGCAGGGCTCCGCAGAATGCAAACCGGCAGCCTCGGGGGGCACCTTCAATAGGAAGCGCTCAGTGCCCTGCTCCTCCCTGGAACCCCCAGGGAGGGAACGTCGGGAGACCAGAGGAAGCCGTGGGAATGGTCCAAGTCCTCTCTGGGTGCCGCTTTCAGGGTTAAAGTTCCGGAATCCGAGGTAAGATTTCTCCCTCTCTCTCTCTCTCTCTCTCACTCTCTCTCTCTCTCTCAGAAATACAAGCCGACTCAGCTGAGCTCAGTGACGTTGGGCTGCCTAGATGCTTACAAAGTACTGGAATTGCCTATCCAACTAGCTCTCACTGCACGCTGCCTCCCTCTCTCTCTCTCTCTCTCTCTCTCTCTCTCTCTCTCTCTTCCTCCCTCCCTTCCTCCCTCCCTGTCCCTTCCCACTCCCTCCCCCAACCACATTTTCCATTAGATTTCCCGAACACTCACATCACAACACGACTCTCAAACTCAGACCTCCAGATCACCCCCTCCCCTCCACCCCCTTCCCAGAGTCCATCCATCTTTGCTGCTCTGAGTGCGGCTCGGTGGCTGCAAAAAATCCTGCACAAATCATCGCAGAAACCGGTCGGCTTCTGCCCCGGGAAGCAATCTCGGCGGGCGACGCGGGCTGTGCAGAGAACGGAGTCTGAGCGCAGGACGCCCCTCTGCAGCCTGGCCCGGGCTCTGTCTCCAACGCTGACCTCGAGAGGGAGAGCTCCACATGACCCCGCCTGGCCCAGCCGGCCGCCGCTAGCCGCCCTGACATCTCTCCCCCTCCCCACTCATCACCCAGACTCCCAGTGACTGCGGGGTGAAGGAAGGGTGAAGGTGGGTTGGGATGGGGGCCTGAGATCAAAGATGCCGAGAACTCGCCATTGGCCCCCCCCCTAAGGACCACCAGACCTCCCTGGCTGGATGTGTATACAGGCAATGCTCAGTTTTATTAAAATAATCAAACAGTCATTGGGGGCTGGCTGGGGTTTCCATCTCCTTCGGCTCCTCTCCCCGCCCCCCCCCAACAATGTAGTATTTTGAGGGTTGAATTGAAGAGGCCAGTAGAAGCGTAAACACAGTCAGTAGGTCTTAGCCTGAGCAGACCCAGCTTGGAGCACCGAGTGGGTGGAATAAATGTCAGGGCTCCTGTTATCATCTCCTGCACCCCCTCACCCTGTTCTTTTCTGGGGCTCAGATTAGGGACTTGGACCTGGAGGCCGAGGTCTGGGCGGAGGGCTGAAGGCAGAGAAATACCCTGGAGACCAGCCGCCCCGGCGGAGCCATCTGTGGCCGCCGGGTCAAAGTCCTGGGGCAGGCCCGGCACGTCGCTGCAGAATTCCAAAGCGAATTGTCCGACCCCCAAAAGTGGGGCAGCCGCGGAGAAAACCAGCCCCGGGCGTTTGCTACAGTCCCCACTCCACCTTGCAGGGTTGTTTGCAAACAGCCTTCCACGGAGGCTGTTTGTTTATTGGTGAAAACACCCTCGCCCTCCCAGAGTGCCCGCTCAGAGGACTCTGGGCTTGCTGAGGGGGCGACCCCCGGGGCCAAAGGCGGAAAACAAACATGGCTTCGGGGTGAGGCGGGCTGTCTGCTTCTCTGGCAGAAGGAAAGGGAAATCCAGAAAGACCTCCTCAATCCCTGCAAATTCTCAGAGATTTGCGGATAAAATAAATTCCCATAAATAACCTGCAGGCCCCTCTCCGGAGGGAGAATCTCCACTCCCCCAGGTCACTGCCTGGCCAGATTCACTCAAGTTTGCGGAGCCCGGACAGGGTGGGTCACCAAGCAAAATCAGGATTTTGAAACCTCCAGGGGGGATCTATGCATCCAGGTGACACGGGAAGGCGACATGCAGGAGGAGGCACCCCCATTCTGCTGGAGAGAAGGACCAGCACTGCGAGGGGGGACTCAGCAGGGCCTCGCTGGGGTGGGAGGCCAGGGGCCCGGAGGCAGGCGAAGAGTTGAGACCAACCTATTCCTCCTCCTCCCCAAAGCTCTCCAGGGCGACACTCACCTCCAAAAATCCCACCTCTTCTATCCAGCGCAGAAGCCAGGAGTGACGCCTCGCTGGGGTTGGGGGGGGGGCGGCTCAGGTGAAGAGTTTGGAAAAGACCCCCAAAAGAGACCCCTTTTAGGCCAAACCTTCTTCCAGCTTCTGTCAAGAGCAGCATGTACCTCCCAGCTCGAAGTTGGTTTGTGGTCTTCGACAAATTAAATATTACTGTTTATTACCAGGCATACCCCAATAAAATAAAGAGGCAACCAGGCGATACCGGCTATCTCACCAGCCGCTGCACCTATAGGACTCGGAGACGTCACGAGTCACGCAACTGGTCCGCGCGCTGTCACGCTCGACTGGGGGGCAGTGGCGGGAGGTTAATTTCTCTCCGTCTTCGCCTATCAGTCCCCGGGGTCTGCGTAGCCACAAGTCCGGGACGCATCGGCCAGGGGAATAAATAAAGAAATAAACAAACCCAGCGCCCTCTGGGGAAATGGGGGTGGCAAACTTCAGACACAAATTGAGCCAAGATCGATTTCCTTAGGGAGGGGGAGGGGGTCCTTTTTGCGAAGGGCGGTGGGAGCCCACCTCAGCCCACGATTGGAAAGCAATCAAGTTTCAATGGGAGCGAGGAGGCAAGAGAGTCCTCTTGTTATTTAAAAATTATTATTTTTTTCCGAGGAGGAGCTCTCGACAACAGTGAATGTTGCGGCGCCTGTCTCGCTGGTCCTGTTTGGGTCGCGATAACTCAGGGTCCTCTCGCAGACCTTCAGAGAAGTAATTACTGGGTTATCATGGAGGGGAAATGACACAGAGACGTTGGGAGGAAGAAAGGGAGTCGGCTGTAGTGTCTCTTGCTGAGAAAAAGTCCATTCTGCGAATGGTCCTTTAGCTAAAACTCCGGGGATGCAGAGCGGCTGGGCGGGGGCGGGGTGCCAGTGGGTGGTGGGGTGGGGATGGAGAGGAGCGGTTTCTGCAGAGAAAAATTACAGCGCCAGGGCCTGCAGAGAAACGAGGAGCTCTATTTTGTTTCGTCATAACGTTTATTATTATTTTTGTTTTCATCTCTGGGCATAACTTCCACGCAGCCCCGTGAAGGATGCGCGCGAGGTTTCGCGCGCAGCTGGAAACGCACTGGGGTCAGTTGGGAATCGCGTGCTGCGTAGACGCCCACGGCGGCGCGGAGAAGAGAGCTAGGCCTGCCCAGCACAGAGCGAGCGAGCCGGCGAGCGATGGGCTTTCAGGAACGGTAAGTTTTCCGCCAAGGCCCCCCCCCCACCCCTAGGGAGCCGGACTTTGGAATCTGGACTTGCCCCCAGCTTCGGTGTTCGATCCGGGCTTTCGCGCGACCCCAGTCCCCAGGGCTTTCCGAAGCCTGGCCTGGCTCCAGGCCTGGCTCTTCTGGGGCTGGAGCGGCGGCAGAAAGTGCAGCGACGCGGTCGACCAAGCCCCTCAAGGAGCGGAGGTCAGGCCCGCGGGGAGAGAGCATGCAGTTTCGGCGCCGGACGCGGGCGCCCAGGCCAGCCGGGCCTCACACCCCTCTGCTTCCAGCAGGGCAGAACCCGCGTCCCCACTCGGGTCCAGGCCACAGCGGCTTCCGTGACCTTCGCTTTCGTTTCCCAAGTTACTCATCATTATCTTTTCCTCAACCCGAGGCCCGTGGGTATAGAGTTTGCTCCCAAAGGCCAAGAGCGTAACCCGAAATAACTTCGCCCAAAGCCTGGAGAGCAGTTGCTATTTGACCTGTGGGCCGAGGTGGGCTAGAAACCAGGCCTCAGCCCCCTTGGGGCGGCAAGGGGAAAGGCAAATCCCTGAGCAGGGCAAGTTCCCTTCTGTTGGACTCCCTTCTCTCAAATCCCCGTGCGGGCCCCCAAACCACCCCGGCGACTCCCAGAAGGGATTCCGCAGGCTCAGCTTTCCAGGCCCGTGTTCCCACCGGCTCTGGAGGCCGCACCAGGGAAGGGAAAAATAAAGACTTCAGCTAGATGTGAGAATCTCCATTCTTTTCCGCAGCCATTGGGCAGCAAACTGGAAAAGGGGGTTGCAACGCGCACCGTCCCTTCTTCCTTTCGTGGGACGGACTGATGTTCTCCCTGACCCGCTCCCAGCTCGATTTTCTCTCAAAAATCTATTTTCCTCATTTGGCCAAATGTCTGCGGATTTGCATACTGCAACAGATGGGAAGACCGGGGTTCCTGTTTTTAAAAAAGTCAAAAACGAAAACAAAAACAAAAGCGAAGACCGACCACTGTTGGGTGTTTTTTTTTTTCCTTTACTCCTGCCCCGTTTTTAAGAAAGACGCCGTCTTTCTTTTCTCTTAAAAGAGAACTCACTTAAGAATCCACCCGCTTTCTGTTTCCCTCCCGATGCGTCCCGCCTGACTCGGGTCTCCGTTGAAGGGGGGGGGGGGAAGAAGGAGGGAGAAATGCGGAGGGGGCTGAGAAAATTAATAAGAATTATAATAACAATCGAAATGATGACAAAACTAAGCTTTGACCAACTGGTTTTCCGAAAGGGAGGGTCAGAAGGAGGGTGGGAATTTCCCTGGTTTCTCAGGGGGTCGCCTTCCCTGGAGCTGCCTGGTGAAATCTGGCTGTAGGATTTTTTTTTTTCCCAGGACCTCGGTCTCTAACGTCCCAATGTCTCACTCGATCCCTAGCTTCCCCTTTCTGACCGGATGCATTTGGGCAGAGCACCGGCGGCTACTGTTATTGGAACATCCACGATTCTCCAATATTTCCAGCGAGTACTATTGCTCCTTCTTTCAGTTATCATTTGTTCGTGTGGGTGTTGTTTCCTGTGCTGCAGAAATATTCCTCCCCACGCACCCAAGTTGGGTGCAGGAGATTGTTACCCCCCGCCCAGGGCCGTGAAATGAGAAATGGACATGGAACGTGGTCCTGGAGGCCCAGCCAAGATGGCCAAGCTGGAGGTTTGCAAGCTCCAGAAGAAGGTGGTGGCAGGCCATGCTTGCGAGGCACACGAGCACTTTTCTTGTCCCCCTCCACTTTGGGAGGGTCCCCAGGGGAAGAGAAGGGTGAGGGTCTTGAGCTGAGAGATGCTGGAGCTGCCACCTCCTATCCTGTGGGCTGTGCTGGGCCTGAGACCTCCAGCCGTACCTGCCACCCAGATCCTGTAGAAGGGCCCCTGGGCGCAGTCACCACGTCT